AGCTCCTCCTCCCCCCAGCACTGGACAAAGCCCTCGCTTCCTCCTCTGCACTGTCTGTCCCCTCCACACAGGCCTAGGGAATGGAGAAAGGCTATTTTCCCCATGACTTCTTCATCCTAAATTGTGGCACAGATCCTTCTATTAACTTTCCCCGAGGTTGTGACCTTTGGCAAGATTTAACTGAAGGCTAGATTTTATTACCCAGAGAGGTCCAGAGGCAGTTCCTCCGAGAGCCCACAGACCCAGGCCGTTCTCATTCTCAGGGGAGCTGCTCCTGATGCCTGCCTGGGTATCTCCCAGCCTGCCTCCATGTGGCAGCTGCTTGCCCTCAGCCCCTACACTCGTGGGCCCAGCACCCCATGCTCCTTTTTGTGGTGGGATTTGCCCCATTGCCCCAGGTTGATTGACAGTGGAATGTCCAGTTCCTCTAGGGAAAAAACCAAAACCTCGGCCCCTACCCAGAGCTCTCAAAACCAGTCACTGGAGGCCTCAGTTTGTTTTCCAGAATCTGTAATTCACTAGGTCAGCAATAACACTACATGTAGGTTATCAAAGTCCAGCTCTGGTTGAGCTTGCTCAGTCCAGTCCTTTGCAGCCACCTCCTGCTTAAGAAAAAGGTGGGACCTATATACATGCTTCTAGCCAGCTTTGGAGGGCCAGCCCCCAGTCTCCTGTGAGCAGCTGCTTGGGTGAGCCACACACACACACACACACACACACACACACACACACACACAAAGTGGTCATTTTCAGGACTGGTACAGCTATGCTTTTATGCAAGAAACAATGGCAGAGATGCAACAATGCCCACTTTGTATAAAAGGACCTTTTATAACACCAAGGTTGAGCTCCTTGGGACTACAGCACCTCCCAACTGTTCCAGAAGAGGGTCTTGGCTCTTGTATCACTAAAAGGACCCATAAAGTGATGCTCCCCTTTTGGGCATGTGGCGAGGTTTCACTTCCTGGGCCCTACTGATTATATGAGACCATGTCACTAATTCTGGCCAGTGAGCTGTGAGCAGGAGGAAGGCGGATCAATTCTGGGCTGAGACAGTGAATTGCTGGGTGAGACTCCCCCAGTTCTGCTTGCCCTGCCTCTGCTGCTGTGGAAGCCTGTGTTGAGATACAGTTTCTATTGGTCTGAGTCCCAACCCATGCTGTACATGTAGTAAGGAATTTGGGGTCTTGGGGATGGGGGTTATCTCAGCATTACCTAACCTACCTGACTGATCCACCACATGATGCCACTCCTGTTATTACCCTGAAGCAATCTGCAGAAGGAATTGTAATCCAAGCACAGAGCCCACATTATGGAAGTCCAGCTCTAAGGGGAGGATCATGGGAAATCTCTTTCCCTCTCCTACGCCTAGCCTCAGAGATTACTGCCTCTTTCTTGTTACTTTAATTTTAACAATCACAGTATTAGCTGCCATTTATTGATTGTTTACTATGAGCCAGGCACGGGGCTAGGCTTTTTACATATAGTATCCCATATACTCTTCTGGGCAACTTCAAGACTGCACTCACCAACATCATTAATGACCTAATTGCTAGCTGGCTGGGTGTTTGGTGGTCCTTCCTGATACCTCTGTGGCATGTCTCCCTGGTGATCCCCAAATCTTTTGTTCACCCTCTTTGCCCTTCCATGTCCTAGGTGCTGTGCCTGGTGCTGGAGACAGAGCAGTAAATAGGACAGACACAACCCTGCCCTCATAGAGCTTAAAGTTTAGTGGGGTAGACAGATGAGTCAGCAGCTGATTACAGCTCAGTGTGATGAGAACTAAAATGGTGCTAAGATCAAGAGGTGTTAGGAACCCTTGGGGGGACCCCATAACGCAGGCCGGTAGGGTCAGGGACCTGAAGCATAAGAGGTGAAGGTGAGAGAGAGAATGACCCAGGCAGAAGAGACAGCATTTGCAAAGCTTGGAGATTGGAGGCTGACCCAAGGCAGTAGAGAAGTATGGCTTGGAGTAGAGCAGCGGAATGTGGAGAAATGAGGCTAGAGAGTTAAGCCAAAGCAGGTCATGTGAGAACTTGAAAGGCTCCAGTAAAAAGTGGGGAGTAAAAAAAGAGAAGAAGAATGAAGTCTTTGAAAGGCTGTGAGCAAGGGAAGTAAGAAGTTTAGATTTGCGGTTGAATGAGCCTCAGTTTCCTCATCTATAAAAGAGATACTAATAGCACAATAGAGCTGTCTGGAGAATTAAATGAGAAAATGCATGCAAACAGTGCCTGGCACATACATTATGATTCATCAGCTAAGAGTCCCTGCCTTGTGAAGCCTTGCACATAGCTGTGTTGACTATAATCACATTCTGTTATAATTATTCATTTAATCCTTTATTTACGCAGCTAGCTCCCAAACTGAGAAATGACATGATCAAGGGAAAAGACCGTGTCTGAATTCTGTCTGTTTACTGTTCCCAGCACGAAGTTTAGCCCAGGACTGAACAATGAAAAAGCAGAAACATCAAAAGGGCGAGTCAGAGGGCAGGACATACCATGTTCAACCACAAGAGGGCGCGCTACGTTCCTAACCAGAGAGCCGGGGCTGCCGAAGAAACGAGGGCTGTCCTTCTAGGACCGTTCTCCAAGGAAACCCAGGGCGGAGGAGGTTGCTTTCTTAGGTCAAATGAGCTAGAGAATAATAAAAAGCGTTTTGAAAACGGAACTCGTAGCACCGATGGTAGGGGCTGCCTTCGCCTCCGTTTGTGGATGGATCCTTGTGCAGTAGGTGGGCTGGGCGACTATATGAGAGGTTACTTGGACTTGCATCCTGATCCCCAAGTTTGCAAACATTCACAGTCACTGTCATCCGGACTCGGAACCCACTGAGGGAGAGCTGGTAGGGATCACGGCAGGTGACACAAGACCCTCTGGGAGCACAGGCATTGGCTGACAGCTACCAGGGCAATTTCGGGGAAGGCAAGAGATGGAGATTCGGGGAGGGAGCGGGGAAAGGAAGAAGTGGAAAAGAGGAATAATAATGGGCGTCTGGAAAGGGGGCGTTAACCCAGTTTGGGCCGGGAGGGGAACCGGGCGGAGGGAGCCGAGAGGGGCGGGCTCTCGGCGCCGCTGGAACAAAACAACAAGCCGGCCCGAGCCCACCTGGGTTAAGGGGGCGGGCCCTGGGGGGAAGCCACGTGCCGGAGCCGGAAGCTATTGGCTGTCCCGGGGTTGTTTGTGAGCGGCCATTGGCGGCGTCGAGGAGCCGCCTCTAGCCGATTGGCGGGTCTCGGAGGACGGCCAGGGC